TTCTAGGCGAGACGTAGTCAGGGTTAGAAAATAAACCGGTGGAGCATTGCCCGTTCTGGAGGTGGATGTGGATGGTGGCGCTGGCAGAACCCGTCTTGGCATGCGTGAAGGCACAATTGCTCAGTGGTGTCTGTTTGTAACCTGGGCAGCTTGCAGGCATTGCTGTGGCCTGTATTAATAGCAGCCAAGCAGGAGAAGAAGTTAAAAGACCTTGTGTGATAATATCCTGTGAAGGCATGCATTGCATTTTAATGGTTCGCAGCCGTTAAAGAAGGCGTTAATGTATGGGAGATACTGTGGTATCTGTAAATTGAAGATATGCCTCGCTTTTGTGCTGATGTATAACTTCAACTCTGTGGGGGAAAATATTAGCCCATCTGAAGAATCTTTCAAAGTTCCATAGTTAAAGCCAGAAGAGACCTTGCTTCGCTTTTGTGCTGATTTATAATTTCAACTCTGTGGGGGAAAATATCAGCCCATCTGAAGAATCTTTCCAAGTTCCATAGTTAAAGCCAGAAGAGACCCACCTCCTGTACAATACAGAATGCAAGACTTCTTTATCAGTGAAAAATCTATCAATATGGAAAGTAAACATCGCTTGGCATTTCAAAATACCTTTCTCATTTTGGGAATGGAGAGATACGAGGTGATTGTCTTCTAGAACAAAATGTTTCCCTCTTCAAATGGGTATAGCAAAACAATATGTTAAATTATATTTTTACTGCCCAAGATTAATTAAATGGGGTGTGAGGGGGGTGTGGAAATTGTGGAGCCAGTGCTAATGGTAGACCTTAAAAGAATGTAAGTCTTATAAAAGTAAAAAAAAAATAAAAATGCCCTGTTCGATTCAGCCCCTCTCATTAGCATTCTGTATAATACATGCATGCACTTATCATGCTTTTGAGTCAGTTTAGTGCCAGTACATTGAAGCTCGTGGATTCGGAGTCTGCAGGTACAGCACAGTTTCTTCTGACAACTGTTCAATCCCACGTGAACACAAGTAGGAATAACGTCTTGGCCTCAGAAAGGCCCTCTTGGAAGAAGATAAACCAGACAAAGAAACAGTTCCTTGAAGAGGAGTAATAGTGTTACAAAATGGGTGCTGAGAGCTGGTGTGGTTTAGGAGCAAGTGGGGAGGAGAGCCGTGGTGTTTGACTTAGTATCTCGCTCTGAGATGCGCTGTCCGTAGCAGTTTGGAATGGGACTGCATTTATGAAACCTGGCACTCTGCCTGGAAAATAAATGCAACTCTGATATGTTTGAAGTATGTGGCTTAACAATAGCAATAATCTACCCTTTGCAGAGCATTGCTGAAGTATTCCGATGTTTTATTTGTATGGAGAAATTGCGTGATGCACGTCTGTGTCCTCATTGCTCCAAGCTGTGCTGTTTCAGTTGTATTCGGGTGAGTTTGCTTATTATAGTTTATTCTTGCAAATGTATGAACTTTAAAACTGCTGATTTTATGAACACGTTCTTGCTTCTTTCTTGCCTCTTCTCCTGGAGTTCCAAGGATTCCTTTATCCTGCTCTGTGCTCTTTAGTTTCCCTTTCAAAATCTTTTACGACACCCTGAGGAAAAACTAGGCAGGCTATGCATTGCATTCAGTAGTGCTGATTATAGGGACTATCTGGAATAACTGTTTTTAAGAAACAGACATATAATGATCCCTTCTTTAGCATCTTGTGAGAGTCAGCGATGCCTGTGTGGAAGACAGTTCCTGGTGGAACAGGAATTAAATAGTGACTTTGCATCTGCCGGTATGGAACACTGGAAGGTCATAACATCACCTCTTGTCATCTTAGAGATGTTTTTAAATGCTTACGAAACTAGTGTGATATGATCAGATATGGGCTAAATCTTTCTTGAGGGAGTCTGGTACAGCAGGCTGAAGCAGCATCTGAAGTACCTCAGTTCATTTATTAAGGTCCCGGTTACCAGTGTATAACACGTCAGTTCCAAGTCCACAGGCTGTTCCGTGTTAGTGTAGTGGGAGAGGGTTCAGCTGAGGTTTTCAGACCTCCGGTAGTATTTCCAGAAGTCGGAACAGTCATCATTCACTTCGAAAGCTCTGACAAGAACCGTAGGTGAAGGATTCGTGTTAAGAATGTTAGATGACATATTGATGCTGGGTGGTGAGAGATTATTCATGAGAATCTTTAAATGTAGTAGTGAGCTGACAAATATAAGCCCTTCAACTGCTGAGCTTTTACACTTGTAAGCTGTAGTGGGCAGGTGAAGTTCTTTCCTCAGCTGCTTGTCTTTGAAGCTTTCTGGAGGAGAAATGTTCAAAGGGTCCTTGTGGATTTGATCATTGAACTGCAGGTATTGAACTTGTGTATAAATAGCTCAAGAGGAAGAAATAAGTTACCTTGAAGACTAATAATTTAGGCTCCAAAAAGTATGCTTGTTGTATCTTTTGCTTGCTTTTGTTGAAACATGCTCTTTAGTCTATGACTATGGGAGTCTGTGCCAGGTGTGTGGTTTCTAATGGAATATTTGGAACCCCCAAATTCTCTATAATTTTGACTGAAGCATCTTTGACATCTAAAGAAAAGTGGTTGCTTTGTTACTAAGATACAAGTAGCAGCTTCTTCTGTGACTAAGTGGTTGAACAGTTAAATTACAAATCTGTAAAAAAAGGAAAAAAGTATAGGAAGACCGTAATAAAAAGAAGTAACTCCTAATTAATGATAGAATGTGCTTGCTTGCAGTTCTTTTCTTACAGTCTCTTGAAAAATGTTTTTCCTTTTTCCTTCGTAGCGTTGGCTGACTGAACAAAGAGCTCAGTGCCCTCATTGTAGGTAAGGTATTTTTAATATGAGAAATAAATTATCAGGAATTGGGTGTACTGTCCTGTTATGATCGATCTTTTTTCAGTGCAGGTTGCACTAAATTTGTAAGCTTGATTTTTGAGACCTGCCTGCTGTTACTATAAAAATTTAGCCTGGTATAATACTTATTCTAAAATACGTTACAGTTTGTGACAAGCTAAGCAAGATCTTTGTTCTTCCCCTGTTTTCAGTGCGTGTAGTTGGTGTAATAAGAGTAACTAGATGGTATTCCCCTTAGAACTCTTTAGATTCTTCTTGCAAGAGTCAGAGACCAGAAACTTCAGTTGCTCAGACTGAAATGTGTGCTTTTTTTATACCTATAATTTGTGAGACTTATCTTACGTGTTGCAGATTTGTCTGAGAGGTAGCTACAATGTGGTGTTTGTTCTGGGTTTTTTTAAGGCAATGCCTCACCCTGTCCCCCCAAGCCCTGGCACTGCTTAGGACTTCCAGTTCTTGAGTACCTAGCAATTCTAGCTCTTGATAGACCAAAAATTGGAAGGCAGCATATTTTTTCCCCTAAGGGAAGGGAGGTATTTAAAAACAACTAACCAACCAACCATTTCTGCAGAACTTTTTTAATATTCAGCTTTTAAAGTATTTGATCAATAGCTCTAAAATGCTTGCAAGGAGGTAAATACATCTACATTTTACAAAGAAGGGCGTAACTGAAGCACTGCAACGGGGATAGTTGAATAATGGGAGAAATTGAAGAAGCACTGAGAAATGAAATTATTTGCCCAGCGTTATCCAGGAGCCTATAAAGAAATCTGGAAATAGTTGTTGGGTTCCCCATGTAGCTATTCTGTATGTCATTGGGGGGTGGTTCGTTGTGGTTCCTGCCTCCCCCCAGCCCCCAAATGAGCAAATTGACTTAAAACATTTCATTTCATTTAATTTCTTTTTTTTTTTTTTTCCCCTGAGATAACTAGTACAGCTTCAGCTTTTTGCCTGTGACCTTTCCGATAGTGTAGAATTGATGAACTGAATTCACTTCAATGCTTCTCTCTTAGCTCCTGGAGCCAAGTTCTTGCTCTAACTCTAAGAATGCTTCTTGCAGAGCCCCGCTGCAGCTACGAGAGCTCGTAAACTGTCGTTGGGCAGAAGAAGTCACACAACAGCTTGATACACTTCAACTGTGCAATCTCACAAAGCATGAAGAAAACGAGAAAGACAAGTAAATGGAGCATTCTTCACACAAAGCGTTTTGCAGTTTGCCTTATATGGGCGGGCTTTTAATTTCAGCTCGTTACTAAAATCTGGGAACTAACTGATAACTTTTACTTACTTAAAAGCTGAATTGTGCTCACTGTCTGACTAAAAGTTGGAGTTCATTTCTGTCATACTTAATGAAACAAGAAGAGCTCTTCAGTGTCTTTGCCTAGAAAACTACTACTATTTCTAGTTTGACTCGATATAGTTAAAATGAGAGATACGGGAAACTTGAAGGGTAGTAATACTTCTTAAGGCTTTTAGCCCTTCTTAGTGACCGTACATCTGAAATAAAAGTCTTCTCTCAATGGCTTGCTCATTTTGCAGTCCCATTAAGACTGTGGGTGCTGATTTGGTATCTCAGCACATAAAAGCGGAGAAGCTGTTCTGAGAAGATGTCTTCTAGTCCCTTGCGAAAATGTAATTGATAAACCCGGTTTGAGATCAAAGAAAATACAGAAAGCCCCACAGAAAGCACTACTGTTGCTATATCTGTCACATTACTGCTGTTCATTCTCCTTCCTTGTCTTTGGAGCCTCCTGTATTTTCTTATATATTCTTTTCCTAGGAGCAGCTGTCAGTACTTTCTCAGCAGGCTTTTCTCCTGGTTTTATCCCATTACCAGCGCTATTATGTGTTTTAAGATATATTCTGGAGATTTGGAGGAGAAAAGTGTGAGAAGAAGCATTGAAAAATGGACAGGGACTAATTATGTGTTCTATACCTGCCTCCTCCCCAAGTTCCTGAATGCTAATGCAGGGGGAAGGGAGAGGCAGGTACTTTAGGTCTGGCCTGGTCTGTGCTCGGTTTCTTGATTGGTGCTGTTTCTGAAATTTTAAAAAATGACAAAGATCAGTTTGCCCAAAAAGCTTATGAGCCATTGCTCTGTGGTTACTTTGGGTTGCGTATGATTAGGATTTTAATAATGTGAAGTATTAACTTCTAAAATTCTGAGCTTGATTCGTTGATGATATCCCTTATCTGCTGGGTAGAAATCCAATTTTAGTAATGTACTTTCTATCTCTGTGAAATACGTGTATTTTTTGTTTAAGGTGTGAAAATCATCATGAAAAGCTTAGTGTTTTCTGCTGGACCTGTAAGAAGTGTATATGCCACCAGTGTGCGCTTTGGGGAGGAATGGTAAGAAGAGACTTGCTTGCTTGTATGCACATGGTGTGTTACAGTAAGAGACTGCAAGCGTTATGTTTGACAGCAGTTTGAAGAAATAGAAGTGCTATGAAACTGTTATGGCTATTGAATTGCCATGCAAATACTGCAGTTGTATGTCTTTACAATTTAAAGTGAACTTTGGTTGTGAAAGGCGATACCTTTTGTTTATAATTAGAGAAGCAAATTGAATTTTTGCTGAAAGGAGGTCAGAATTACCTTCCTTGTTATAAACTTTGTGATGTCTTGGACAAACTGTAGATGGTGCTGAGGATTTTATGGGCAAAGGAAGCAGTCTTTCTCAGAGAACATAGATAACACTTGCATTATTTAAATGTCCTGGCCTGTAATCTTGAATATCTTCAAAGCTGTATTAGTAGCACAATTCACGGCACTGTTTATTATCCTTTCAGTTGAGTGTTTCAAGGAGAGACTGCTGTCATTGCTTGGAATATAAGTGGTTAACAGCGTGCTGCCTTTGTTTGGGAAGGGTGTTTTAATAATAATAAAAGTAAGATATCCCTTCTATCGTTATTTGATTTGTTAGAGAATAGCACAGTGAATGAAGCAGTTTATTTTTGGAGGACCGCTGAGACTCCAAATAACTCTTGACAGGAAGCTTTGACGGTATGAAAGCCAAATTCATGACTTATGAAGGGAAGTGAAAGACAGGCTTCCTACATACAATCTGCTTTGGAACTTTTCCAAAATGACTGATACACTAGGAGGCTTGCTTCCCCTTTCTTTCAGTAATTTAATAGGAGTGGAATAAAGTTAAAAAGGGATGCTCTATTATTTCTCCCTCCCCCCCTCCCCTTTTCTTTTTTAACAGCATGGAGGGCATACTTTTAAGCCACTGGCAGAAATCTATGAGCAACATGTCACAAAAGTAAATGAGGAAGTGGCAAAGCTTAGGAGAAGACTCATGGAATTGATCAGTTTGGTGCAAGAAGTGGTAAGAAATTGATCCAAGATAATGTTAAGTTTCCCTGTAGTACGCCAGAGATATAACAGGGATATCCCCAGCACCTGTTTAGAAGCTGTTGCTTCTGTGAAGGCAATCAGATTATCCCCCAGAGAGACATTTTTACTTTTTAGTTATACTCTTTTTATACTATGTGGTGTATATTCTGGTATATATTTTTATACAATGTGGTGATATTTATACAATGTGGTGTATATGATGTATCCATCAGCATATTCTCAGTACTGTTTTTGTAGTTGCCAGACAGAAAAAGATGTGAGTTGGCTAACAGGGAATTTTTCTTTTGGTGTATGCTATTTAAAAGCTAGAGTTGCACAGTTCTTTGGAAGATGTATTTTTGTCGACACTTATAAAAGTGCGGTCTGCCATGCTAAACAAGTATAAAAATGCTTTATTCTAATAGAGCTTATTTTCCTTTCTTCAGGAGAATAAACTACAAGTATATATTTGAGCCTACAGGGTGGGCTGTAAAGCAGCTCGCCAGTTAGAGATTTGAAGTCTGGGTACCTCCTTTTTCTTCCCCATAGGGGTAAATGTGTTAGACATCCAAATATCGACATGTTCAGCTTTGGCGGTTTCAGTGGGAATTCCAATAATTCAATACAGTTTCTTGTATTCTAGGAAGGATTATTTTTGTGTTCTGTTGAATGCTGTTACATTTATTGTGTAGTCTTTGTGCGAATAAAATAAGGGGTTTTTTAAACAAGTTTCCATATGGTTTTTGTCTATGCTATTATTCAGGTAGTTGTTTGCCACATGCAGTGGTAGTTTAGCTCTGCTTCAGCTCAGATGTGACTGTTATGTCACCAAGTGGGCTACTTGTAAGTATTTGTAAAATGTTGAGAGGATTGTGGCCTTCACCTTCCAGGGTGAAGAGTGCAATTTTTATCAAATTATTCTTGTTACCAAGAAGGTAACTTTTCTGTGCTGCTCAAGTTACAGAAGGGAAACTGGCAGTTGTATTTACAAATTTTGATACTAAAGAACACCATATGACAAACCTCTATGTAATGAGAAAATGTTGCTCAACTTTACTGTTAACCTTTGGTCACCCACCAGAGGGCACGCTTATATATTCAGTAAAAGTCTGAGGATATTTACAACTGGCAACAGGAATAGCCTGTAATACAGCTCATCTAAAAACACATTCTTGTTTTCTTATTCTAAACATGCACGCTTCAGTAAGACCAGGATAATTTTTTTTTAATAATAAATAATAGGGCTGGAGGGGACTCCAGGGAGGCCTAGCATTTCTGGGATCTGAGAGAGTGGAGTCAACATGTAAATGAGTGAAACATGCAAAAGTGTAAAGGCTTTCTTTTTGTGCATGTTTTTTCCTGAACCCTGTTTTAGGAGAGGAATGTGGAGGCAGTGCGTAGTGCGAAGGATGAACGAGTTCGGGAAATCAGGAATGCAGTGGAGATGATGATTGCCCGGTTAGACACTCAGCTGAAGAATAAGCTTATAACATTAATGGGTAGGTATTTGCCTGATCTATTATGAGTAGGAGCAATATATTAACAGTGTGTAAATCTATCAAGAAACTTTCTTGCCCTGGAAGTATGACTTCTTATACACTTTATGGTGTTAAGCAAGCTAACTGCTGACAGAAAACTTCTACCTACAGCAAAGATTTTAGTTAATTATGTTAGACGTAACCTGGTTATGTTCTGTTAGAAACTCCTGGATAATAACTTGGAGAACATTTCCATCTAATCAGAAGATGTTTAGTACCTTTCACTTCAAGTGTTTTTACACCATCATTTGTATTAGCCAAGAAGTCCTTTGTTGTAATTTGACATCTTTGTAATATATACTCCTTTTAATGTAATTTTAAAAAATTAGAAGTCTGTATGAGATGTCTGGTGAGCATCAGTTCAGATCCATACATACAGGCATCTTTGCCTGCAAGTAAAGAACATGGCATCTGGAATCAGAGCTGCTACTGTGGTTCCTGACACTTGCTAACCAGACACTGGTCACTTTAGCTCTCCTTTGGTATAAATAGAAGTGAGAAGACAGGTGGTACACTTACAGGTATTGAAGCTTACAGAAGCAACACTACTAAAAATTAAGTGTAGCTTTCGACGAGAAGGACAGAATGTTCCTCAGTTGGCTATAACTGTACGTGCTTTGCTCAACTAATTTTGCCTTGTTTTTTCCATGTGCGCTTTCATTTGCGTAAGTGCTTTGATAGGAGCACGTACTACAGGTGACGACATCTTGGGATATCGGTTTCTTTAGACACTCTTGAAATGTTATACCTATGACCTTAGTTTTGCAAGGTACACAACCAGTAGATCAAAGTACACAGACAAATAGATCCTTGACCTTGTACCTACGTATTTGTCTCAGAACTAAAAGCAAGGCAATAAAATAGCTGTGCTGAAAATGTATTTCTGATGCTTGAAATCTTCACACAGAGACATACACACACCCCCCTTCACCCCGCCACCCACCCAAAGAACACCTGCAATGTTCATGCTTGGAAGATGTCCTTAGCTTTGATAATGCTTGTGTTTATTCTCTTAGTTCATTTCCATTAAAAACAAAACATCATCATAAATGTATATTAGCTATGTTTCAAGTTTCTCTTCAAATTCATGTCAGTACTTTAAAATGTTTGCTTTACGTTAAATCCAGGATTCATACATCCATACATATTTTGTGCCCATATCAAATACAGTCATCAGTCACAAGATTTGTTTTAGTGTGTACAGATTAAAGATCAGTCTTAAAGCTGGGGTAGAATGTCTTAATTATTTGTACGTACAGGTTAACGTTTTGTCCATGTAACACCTTTTTTCTAACAACTGCCAAACACCCTTCAGGTATGTAATGTGTGACGGAGACAAAGTAAATCCCCATGATAGAAAACAGACAAATGTGACTTAGGTTTTTATTCTTTCTCATCATGTCTTCACGCTAGTTGAAATGCACAAACACATTTAAACATCGTTTGTTCTTTTTTATAAAGAAAACACTTAAACATCGAAGTCAAGAGAAATGGTGGCTTTTAGGAGAAAAGTCCGCTAATATAAAAGAGAGGCTTATGCCCTGGTTTTGGCTGGGATAGAGTTAATTTTCTTCCTAGTAGCTGGTACAGTGCTGTGTTTTGGATTTAGGATGAGAACAATGTTGATAACACACCAATGTTTTAGTTGTTGCTGAGCGGTGCTTACACTAGTCAAGGACTTTTCAGCCTCTTATGCCCTGCCAGTGAGAAGCTGGA